AAAAAAAAAAAAAATCACATGGGGATACATTAGCCTTATACTTTCTCTCTTAAGACACCAACAAAATAGTATTACCTTTCTTGGGTCTAGGGGATAATTCAAGATGCTTTTCTGTAACAGTCTTCTTTTCAGTTGTTAATGACTGCAGGGAAAATGATAATAATGTAATTCCTATAACAAATGCTAAAAACCAACCATATTTTGTAAAATATTAAAAATATTAAACTATATCCTCAACATATTCCTCTCTTGATTTCCTTTACTTATATTCACCAATTTCAGTATTCCTGAAGTACACACTCCTTACATACTTATAAATTTATTTTTATATGTTTCCAGAGTCTAAACAAAGATCTGACTGATCAAAATGTTTTCCATTAACATTCAATGTCAATACCTGTTCATATACGCAACTCTGACCACCTATGAGGTCCTCATTACTACCTGTATCTAAATTATCTTTGGAGTTCACAACAGCATTCTTCCAATCCTCTATAGTGTAAGTTACCACACACACAAAAAATTAACTAGAATATTTCATTGCCAAAAGATTCTGAACATACAGGCATACCTCATTTCATTGTGCTCTGCTTTATTGTGCTTTGTACATACAGTGTTTTTCACAAATTAAAGGTTAGTGGTAACCTTGTGTCAAGCAAGTCTATAGGAGCCATTTTTCCAACAGCATGCACTCACCTTATGTCTCTGTGTCACATTTTGGTAATTCGCCCACTATTTCAAACTTTATCATTATTATTTTATCTGTGATCACTGACCTTTGATGTTACTATTGTAACTGATTTGGGGTGCCACTAACCACACCAACATAAGACAGCAAATTTAATCAGCAAATGTTGTCTGTGTTCTGACTGTTCCACTGACCAGCTGTTTCCCCATCTCCCCTCCTCGGGCCTCTCTATTCCCTGAGATACAACAATATTGAAATTAGGCCAATTAATAACCCTACAATGGTCTCTAAGTGCTCAAGAAAAATGAATAGTCACACATTTCTCACCTTAAATCAAAAGCTAGAAAAGATTAAGCTTCATGAGGAAGGCATGTCAAAAGCCAAGACAGGCTAAAAGTTAAGCCTCTTGCTCTAAACAGTTAGCCAAGTTGTAAATACAAAGGAAAAGTTTTTTTGTTTGTTTTGTTTTCTTTTCCTTTTCTTTTTGTGGGGTAGCTGGGGAGTTCTTAAGGAAATTAAAAGTGCTACTCCAGTAAACACATGAATGATAAATAAGTGAAATACCCTTATTGCTGATAGGGAGAAAGTTTTACCAGACTGGATAGAATGAATCAGCCACAACATTCCATTAAGCCAAAGTCTGATCCAGAACGAGGCCCTAAATCTCAACTCTATAAAGGCTGAGAGAGGTGAGGAAGTTGCAGGACAGTCTGAAGCTAGCAGAGCTCAGTTCAGGAGGTTTAAGGAAAAAAGGCCTCTACAACATAGAAGTGCAAGGTGAAGCAGCAAGGGCTGATGTAACAGAAGCTGCAGCAAGTTATCCAGAAGATTTAGCTAAGATCATGATGAAGGTGGCTACATTAAACAGCAAATTTTCAATGTAGATAAAACAGTCTTCTACTGTAAGAAGATGCCATCCAAGCCTTTCATAGCTAGAGAGGAAAAGTCAATGTCTGGCTTCAAAGGACAGGGTAACTCTCTTGTTAGAGGTTATTACAGCTGGTGACTTTAAATTGAAGGCAATCCTCATTCACCATTCTGAAAATCCTAGGGTCCTTCAGAATTATGATAAATCTACTCTGCCTGTGCTCTATAAATGGAACAACAAAACCTGGATGACAGCATATCTGTTTATAGCATGGTTTACTGACTACTTTAAGCTCCCAATGTCGACACTCGCTGCTCAGAAAAAAGAATTCTTTTCAAATTACTTGCCACTGACAATGCACCTGGTCATCCAAGAGCTCTGATGGAGAAGTACCAGGAGATTAAGGTTGTGTTCATGCCTGCTAACACAACATCCATTCTGTAGTCCATAAATCAAGGCATGATTTTGACCTTCAACTGTTATTATTTAAGAAATACATTTTGTAATGCTGTCAGTGCCATAGATAGTGATTCCTCTGATGGATTTGGGCAAAGTAAATTTAAAATCTTCTGGAGGTCGGGCATGGTGGCTCACATCTGTAATCCCAGCACTTTGAAATGCCAAGGCAGGAGGAAGCCAGGAGTTCGAGACCAGTCTAGGCAACACAGCAAGAACTTATCACTACAAAAAATTAAAAAATTAGCCAGGCATGGTGGCATATGCCTGTAATCCTAGCTACTCAGGAAGCTGAGGTAGGATTGCTTGATCCCAGGGATTAAAGGCAGTAGTGAGCTATGATCATGCCACTTTATCCCAGGGCAATCAATAGAGGAAGACCCTGTCTCTTAAAACAAAAAAACGAAAACAGAAAAAAAGAAAGAAAACAAAATCTCTGGAAAGGATTCACCATTCTAGATGTCACTCAGAACACTCAGGATTCTTGAGAGGAGATCAAAATGTAAACATTAACAAGAATTTAGAAGTTGATTCTAACTCTCATGGATGACTTTGAAGGGTTTAAGACTTCAGTGGAGGAAGTAACTGAAGATGTGGTGGAAATAGCAAGAGAATTTGAATTAGAAATGGAGCGTGAAGATGTGAATGGATTGCTGCAACCTCAAAACGAAACTTGAATGGTGAGTAGTTGCTTCTTATGGATGAGCAAAGGAAGTAGTTTCTTGAAATATTATAGAATCTACTCCTGGTGAAGATGCTGTGCACATTACTGAAATGACAACAAAGAATTTAGAATATTCCATAAACATAGTTGATAAAGCAGTGGCAGGGTTTCAGAGGATTGAGTCCAGTTTTGAAAGAAGTTCTACTGTGGGTAAAATGCTATCGAACAACATCGCATTCTACAGAGAAACCTTTCCTAAAAGGAAGAGTCAATCTACGCAGCAAACTTCATTATTACCTTATTTTAAGAAATTGCCACAGCCACCCAAACTTTAAGCAATCACTACCTTGATCAGTCAGCAGTCATCAGAATCAAGGCAAAACCTTCCCCCAGCAAAAAGATTACAACTCTCTGAAATCTCAGATGATTGTTAGCATTTTTTAGCAATAAAGTATTTTTTAATTAAGGTATGTACAGTTTTTATACATAATATTATTGCACATTTAATAGACTATAGTATAGTGTAAATATAACTTTTCTATGTACTGGGAAACCACAAAATTTGTGTGACTCACTTTATTGTGATATTTGCTTTAATGAAGTGGTTTAAACCCTCAATATCTCCAAAGCAGGCTTGGATAAACATTTCATAAACACACTTCTTGTGAAGAATGGTATGCTCAATGGTTTCACCTTCTGAGAATATTCTTGGTACATATCCTTCACTTACAAACAAAGAAGTAGAAAGGTTTTCTGCATGTCATAAAGAGGTGAATAGTAACTTGTCACAATTATTAAAAGAATTCAAAGAATGAGGAGAAAAAAAAAGGAATGCACCAATTACAGTGTCCTGAAAGAAAATAAGGAAGGGAATTCCAAAGAAATGTAATTACAATGGCGTGAACACTCAGGAATTTTAGGATTTACTCTTCAGCATTCAGAGAAAACAACTTTACAGCTATCTTACCGGAGTTCCAGAAGTGTCCTGAAATCCTTCTCCACACCTGAGCCATGCTTTAGAGAGGGAGGCAGCTGCCCCTGCTGTCCTGAGACCTGCTCTTCTGAGCTGCAGTGGCTTCTCTCCTGGAAAGGATGGGTACTCTATATCCCAATTCCTTTTTCTCTATGGAGAAGATTTTTAAAGAAAAAACAAAACAAAATCAACCTTATTAAATATACATTAAGTTGACAGTTAACAATTCGGAAACCTAGGAATGGCAGTAGTAAGCAGAGTATTTGAACATCTCTGAATCTTCACATAAAGATAGAGCAACTAGATAACAAAACCAAAAACCCATAGACGCCACATTAATCACCAAACTCTAAAATACAAATGGGTGAGGACAAACCACCACCCCTCCAAATTCCTGCATGGTATCAGTATCTGAGAGCAAGAAGCGGAGAGAAGCAAGAGGGTAAAGGAGGCACTAGACAGCAGTGCTCCGTGGGAAGTGGAGAAGGCGATCCATCTGAGATGGGTACCTAGAGCTCGGGAGCGCAAGAGCTCTAACCCTGAGAAGATGCAAAGGGGTGGGAGCAAACTGGGACACCTGAAACATGTCAGCCAGGACTCTCTTCTGGACAGGGCCCCACATGAGGATAAAGTGCTGGGAGTGGAACACACTCAGCAACACAGGGTGACAGACAAAGAAAAGGTCCAGATGGACCAGAGCTAGGAAGCATCTATACAACAAATAAATAAGTGGCCATATTTTTGCCAACTACATGAAAACAATACAAGGTAGAAGAACTATCCAAAATCCAGCCTCCTCCTCACATTTCAGAAAAACTATGACATAAAAATAAGCAACAGAAGAATATCAAAGCCAAATCCCATACAGTTATTATTGGGGGAAAAAATGAGTGGAATAACATCCCAACATACAAAGAAAGCACACCAAAGACACACAAAACAGATAAAATGGTAAACTACTATTTCAAAATAAGACAAAATATTCAGAGTTATAAAAACTTAGAAATGAGGTGACAAACTTAAGAAAGAAGTAGAATAAAATCAAAAAATCATTTGAAGAAAAAAGGACTAAATCAGACAGAATCCAAGAACAAACAGATCACAGATAATATCTTAAGAATACAAATATTTTACTTACTATCTTATTAAATAGAAGGTAAAAGGAAGAAATTTTAAAGTTCTGCCACCCTCCTCCCATGAAGAAAGAGAAAAAGGATTCAAGAGAAATAGAGTCTGATCAAGTCTCTGCTGGAATCCAACACAGATTGCAGGAATTCCTGAAGAAGAAAACCAAAGCAATGGGCCGCTTGTTAAAAACTACAATTCCGGAAAACTTTCCTGAAATTAAAAAAAAAGAGAGAAAAATCTACACATTGCAACAGCACACCACATACCTAAGAATATGAACCTAGAGGCAATCAAAACCAAGAAACATCCTAGTAAATATTTTTTAACAATCCCTTGAGGCCGGGTGCGGTGGCTCATGCCTATAATCCTAGCACTCTGGGAGGCCGAAGCGGGAGGATCACTTGAGCTCAGGGGTTGAAGACCAGCTTGAGCAAGGGCAAGAACGAGACCCCATCTCTACTAAAAATAGAAAAACAAAATTAGCTGAGGGTGGTGATGTGCACCTGTAGTCCCAGCTACTCGGAAGGCTGAGGCAGGAGGATGCTTGAGCCCAGGAGTTTGAGGTTGCTGTGAGCTACACTGATGCCACTGCACTCTAGCCCAGGCAACAGAGTAACAATCTGTCTCCAAAAAAAAATAAATGACAAGGTCAAGAAAGACAAAGTATAAGGAACTGTTCCAGATTAGCAGAAGACCAAAGAGGCATGAAAAGTAAATAAAACAAATGATCCTGGATTGGCTCCTAGATCAAGGAAAATAGGACACTATTGGGCAATTGATAGAATTTGAATATGAACTGTCGTAATGGCAACAGTATTATATCAATTTTAAATTTCCTTTTAAAAATAATTATACTATGCTTATATAAGAGAATGTCTTTATTCTAGGAAATAATTAAATATTTAGAGGTAAAGGTGTACTATGTCTCCTGATTGCTCTAAAATAGTACATGAAAAAGTTACACACACGTGTGCATGCATAGAGAGAGGGAGAGAAAAAAGGGGTAGAGAGAGAGAGAGATGCAAATAATAAATTGGTGAACTGAAATAAAAGGTTGTATTAGTTTCCTGGAGCTGCCATAACAAATTACCACAAACTCGCAGTTGGCTTAAAACAGTAGAAATTTATTCTCTCACAGGTCCAGAGGCTAGAAGTCTAAACTCAAGGTGTTGGCAGGGCCATGCTTCCTCTTTAAGAGCCAGGGAATAATTTTTTTTGCCTCTTTCAAGCTTCCTAGCAATCTTTGGCATTCCTTGGCTTGTACCTGCATCTCTAATCTCTACCTCCATTGTTACATGGCATTCTCCATGTCACTGGATTTAGGGCCACTCTAATGCAGTATGACTTCATCTTAACATGAGGGCCAGAGCCCAAGTACAGATAACTTAACCTTCACCCTCACTTTTCTGCCTTCCCTCCCCCAGCTGCTCTGGTCTACTCTACAGTGGCCCCTGCCAACAGTGCCCAAGTATTTCCATCCCAACACCTGCATCCATAGCACTGTCTTTGCTGAGAATCACCTCTCTACTCTCCTGTCTCTCTAAATTTGCTACAGATCAATGCTCACTTCCTCCATAAATACCCTTCAATGCCTCCGTTGCCTTCCTTCCTTCTGTGAGGCCATCCTATTTCCAGCCTTTTCTACTCCTGTGTCTCTTCCTCAATGGCAGGGGAGTCATGTGCCTAATTCATCCCATCCCCTCAGTACATAGCACTCCCTAGGCACTGAGCACTCATTAAATAACTGTTAAATGAATATGTAAATTACTTGACTCTAACCATACCTGTCACAAAATTTAAAGTTGGTTCAAAGATGGTAATGATATCTAAAGTAAATCAGACAGTAAATACAGTCTAAGGAGAAATTCAGCACACCTAACTCCTGTTTTATCCATTTATTGTAATAAACAATACCTGCACTATAGCTCTCTTTATACTTTATGGAAATTGTGTAGATTGCTCTCTGCACAGTGTTTACTCAGCCAGAGTAGGTCCTGACAGTAGCAGCTTCACTGATTACCCAGCCTCCTCACCCATCTACCCTTCTTTTCTAGTGACAAAACATACCCTCATCACCACAGTTTTAGGCAGCTGAAGCCACAGTCATTCACAGCACATCAGCCTCACCTGATCCAGGGATGCCATGGAACCCAAGCTGGGTCAGTCAGAGGCCCTCTCTAGGACTTTTCTAACTGGGGCTACTGGGGAAGATTTCCTTCTTCCCAACTTGGTCAGGGATGTAACCTCCAAGTAGCCAGCAGCCTTGTCCCACACCCTATGGAGAAACCTGAGTAAGAAGAGATGATGAGTCATACTAGATTGTTATAAAAAGCTCAGTCAGTTGTAAAACCCAGGGTATCAACAAAGAAAAAAAAAACTAAAAAAGAAAAAAAGAGAAACAAGAAAGGAATCAAAACAGTACACTACAGAAAAACAGATTTTCACAAAAGAAGGCAGTAATAAAGAAATTAAGAAACAAAATAGGTATAAGATATACAGAAAACAAATATTAAAATGGCAGAAGTCCTTCCTTAACAATATTTAAATGTAAATGGATTAAACTCTTGATTTAAAAGATTGGCGGAATGGATTAAAAGAGCATGATCCAACTATAAACTGTCTACAAAAGATTCAACTTAGGTCCAAGAACACAAAAAAGTGAAAGGACAGAAAAAGATAATCCATGCAAGTAATAACAAAAGAGAGGTGGGTAGCTATACTAATATCAGACAAAATAGACTTTAAGACAAACACTGTTACTAGAGGCAAAGAAGGACATATTATGTTGATAAAAGTGTCACTCCATCAAGAAGATATAACAATTATAAACATATACATACATGACAACATAACCTCAGAACACATTAAAGAAAAACTAAAAGAATTGAAGGGAGACCTTGACAATTCTACAATAATAGTTGGATTCTTAAATATCCTACCTTTAATAGAACTAGATAGAAAATTAATAAGGAAATAGAGGGCTTGAACACACTATAAACTGACTAAACTTTACAGGTATATATAGAACACTCCATCCAATAACAGCACAATACACATTTTTCTCAGGTGTACATGAAACACTCTCCAAGAGAGATTATGTACCATAAAAAAGTCGCAATAAATTTTAAAGGTACAAAATCATACAAAGTATCTTCTTTGACCACAGTGGAATGAAACTAGAAATGGGCCAGACATGGTGGCCCACGCCTATAATCCTAGCACTCTGGGAGGCCGAGGAGGGAGGATTGCTTGAGGTCAGGAGTTTGAGACCAGCTTGAGCAAGAGCAAAACCCCTTCTCTACTAAAAATAGAAAAAATTAGCCAGGCAACTGAAAATAGAAAAAAATTAGCCAGGCGTAGTGGCACATGCCTGTAGTCCCAGCTACTCAAGAGGGTGAGGCAGGAGGATCGCTTGAGCCTAGGAGTTTGAGGTTGCAGTAAGCTATGATGATGCCACTGCACTCTACACCTAGACTATGTCTCAAAAAAAAAAAAAAATAGAAATCAACAACAAAATGAGAAAGGAACAAATGACAAATAAGTGGAAATTAAACAATACAATTTAAATAATCAGAGGGTCAAAGAAAAATGAGAAATAAATTATAAGGCAAATTAGAAAATACTTTCTCAGAAAAATGAAAATATTATAAAAACATGAAATACCAAAATCTATGAGATGCAGTGCTCACAAAAAAATTTATAGATGCAAACGCCGAAATTTAAAAAGAAGAAAGGTCCTAAATCAATAATCTAACCCTACACATTAAGAAACTGGGGAGAAGTCAAGCTAAATCGAAGGCTGTAACAAAAAAGAAATAAAGATTAGAACAGAGGTAAATGAAATAGAAAATAGAGAGAATCAACAAAGTTGGTTCTTTGAAAAGATCCACAAAATTTAAAAACTTTTAATTAGACTAGTAAATAAAATAGAAGATTTAAATTACTAAAATTGGAAACAGAAGTGGGGACATTACTACAAAACTTACAGAAATAAAAAAGACAACAGAATACTATGAACAACTGAACAACAAAAATTAAAGAACCTAGATGAAATGGACAAATTCCTGGAAACACAGAAACAACCAAAACTGATTCAAAAAGAAATAGAAAAATTGAAGACACCAATGACAAGTGATTAAATCAATAATCAAAAACTTCCCAACAAACAATGGTGCAGGACCACATGACTTCAACAGTGAATTCCACCAAACATTTAAAGAATTAACACCAAGCATTCTCAAACTCTTCCCAAAAATGCAAGGAAGTAACACTTCCCCTCTCTGAGACAAGCATACTAAAGCCATACAAACATATCACAACAAAACTACAAACCAATATCCTTCATGAAAATAGATATAAAAATCATCAACAAAAATACCAGTAAACCAAATCCAGCAACACATTAAAAGGATTATATAATGTGATCAAGTGGGAGTTATCTTAGGCACATACAGGTGGTTCAGTACATCAAAATCAATCAGTGTAACACATCACATAGTAGAACAAAGGGGGAAAAAATAGAGATAACCTATTGATGCAGAAAAAGCACTAAAAAAAAATCCAACATTCTCTCATGATAAAAACATTTAACTAGGAATACAAGGGAGCTTCTTTAACATGACAAAGGGCTTTTCTGAATGTTTTCCCCCTAGGATAAGAACAAGTTTGCCCATTTTTGTCACTTCAATCAAACCTTGTGCTGGACTGGAAGTTCTAGCCAGAGCAATTAGGCAAGAGAAAAAAACAAAGGCATCCAAATTCTAAAGGAAGAAGTAACCTCTACTTGCAGATGGCATGATCTTACATATAGAAAACTCCAATGAATCTTACCAAAAAACTATTAGAGCTAATAAATAAATTCAGCAAAGTTGTGTGAACTAAAATAGAATTTTAAGGCTCACCCCCCCACCGGCTGACTAAACGGACCCCCTCATGGCCAAAGGAATACCCTAAAACTAAATTGCCTGCCAGGAGGAAGGAGGTCAGACATGCCTTATCATGCCCCCCTCCCTTCTTGGTGACATCCTTTATAACCCACTAACAGGCCTAAGGGTATGCAAGACAAACCTGCAGGTCCTTTATTTACACAACAAATCTATGTCCAGTGGCTTATCTCTGATAAAGAGCTCCTTATGTTGAAACATTCCAAGCCTTTACATAAAGCTTCATGTCTTAACCAATTACAGGCCAAAGAATCTTTTAACCCACCTATAACCTATAAGCCCCCGCTTTGAGATGGCCCACCTTTTCGGGCCAAACCAATGTATGCCTCCGACGTATTGATTTATGACTTCACCTGTAATCCCCGTCTCCCTAAAATGTATAAAACCAAACTGTAACCCAACCTCTGCAAGTCCACTTGCTCAAGGCCTCTTGGGCGTGGCTCCGGGTCATGGTCCTCAAATTTGGCTCAGAGTAAATCTCTTTAAAATTACTTTACAGAGTTTGGTCTTTTTTTCCATTGACAAAATTGGCTCCCAACGTGGGGCTCAGAGAAGACTCAGGACCGCCGAAGGAGCAGCCCGAACTTGGCGCCAGGTACCGGCATGGTCCTTTTGGGCCCTCTGACTCCGAGCTTCTCCTTGGGTGGAACTGGTAAGTCCTCCTGAGCTCCGGACCTGCCGTTTTTGGTTGATGGTCTCGGTTTACTCTGAGCTGGTTCTTTTCCTAGGAATTGTTTGGGATCCTAACTTAGATTTGGAGGTGCATTCTAAAGGGTCTTCTCCTTTGTCTTTTTATCCTAAAATTAATCTCAATTGGCTTTTCTGTGCATTTTTAAAAGAGGAAACTGAACTGTCTTGTTCGTAGAAAAACGAGAGACTGAGTTCCTCAGCTCGGAAGAGAAGGGGCATCTAACTCCTCCCAGCCTTGGTAGCCCTGGGTGACCGGGGTCCTGAGTGGGAGTTGCCTGGGGCGATTCCCCGAGGCGCGAGTGGCCCTATAGGAAACCCCCCAACAAATTAATTCAAAGAAGGCTCGCCCAGGAAACGCATATAAGAACTGATCACTCAGCGTTTTGAGCCCTCTTGGAGGTACTAGACCCCGAAGAGAGAAACTGAGACACGTAAGAGGGTGGGACCGACTCAGTGGTGAAACACTGAGGAGCCCCACCGGCAACCAGCACACTCTGATCCATGACACCAAACCCTATATTACAGTTCGGTTGCTTCTTTTAAAGAAAAATGGGAAAATCCTTTAAAAATGAGGAAAGACAAGGAGAATGAGCCCCGTTGGGCACCCCAGTTGGTTTGTGGTACCTCTACTTGCAAGTATTTGTGAAGACTTTCAAAGACATGCCAAGTTTTTTTTTTTCTAGAGTCCAGCTGGTTATAGCTAATTCTTGTGCACAAGTTTTTACAAAAGGGCAAATTACATCAAGGAAAATTCAGAGCTCAAATGGTCGACCTACCACTATAGAGTTAAAATGTCTCAAGCTATTTCTCTTCTTTTCTGGCTACTCTAAAACCTGCTAACTTTCTCTCTTGATGTTAAGATAACTCATTGTTTATGG